ATCCATATTTATGACAGTAGCAGCAGCAATACTATTTTTGATGTTACACTCACTGAAAAGCCTTAAGGTTTACGATGGTGACATAATTGAAGGCCAACAAAATCTGGTCATGCGATGTTTGAACCGTGGTATATATCATTGATGCTGCAGCATATAGAACGTTGAGCATATAGCTGTGCCATTAGAACCTTTTGTAAAAGTACCGCAACCAAAGCATCACAATATCGCCAAACAAGCCTTTGTACATAAATGTACGTTATTCACCGACATTCTGAACTGTTTCAGTAAATCAGAATTAGCCAGTGTTTGATGACAATAACAAAACTAAAAATGACATTTAAAAAATCCAACAAACTGTTGATTTTAAACCTATTTTGTAACAAAAAAATAGGATAAAAAAGAAGCTTATAAACATATTAATTATACATTCTTTTAAAACCTTCTAAAAACTAAGCATCAATTAGTGCATCAATTGATCATTAAAAATATTTCTAAAATTCTAAACTATACTATACAAAACGGTTATTACCACCAAAAAAAAAAAAAAGAACTGTTACAGCTGTATATATTATTGAGTATATCCTACGGTTCTTCCAGCAAATGATTCTGAATTTACATACGACTTCAGCAGCAAACAACATAGCAACGAGGAAAAATCTATAAATTTGTTTAAAAATTTAATTACTTAACTTAGCATAAAAGAAATGAAATAGAGCAACTTTATTTTATATTTTATTCGCTTGTTCCATTCATTTTTCATTTCTTTTTAGTAAGGCTTTTAAACTTTATATTAATAACATCTGTTCAAGCATATTTTTTTTCTTTTTCCTTTCTTTTTCTTTTTTTGTTCTATTTTATGCCTTATGACACAGGCTGGCCTCATTTCCGATATATCGTCAATTTCCGTCGGTATCCTTTACCATTAAAAAAAAATTGTGTTTTTTTTTTTACGCTTTACATGAGAACATTAAGAAGGGACTATTTGGAGGAACTCAAATGAATCATCAAGCTGATGATTTCCAATTGTTCTTCTCAACGTCTCAATACGATTGAAACGATTATATTTGTTCCAGCTTTGCTCCAAATAATCGTAGCAGTTCCAGGGCCATCAAGCAATTCATAATATACCATTACAAGAACGCCCAAAAATACACTCAACTTATCTGTTGCTAAATAACGCTGAAATAACCCCCCGTCCCTAACCGGCTCAATACCCCAAAACGCTTGTCTTTTTGGCAACACCAAAGATATGAAAAGTTTTTGGAGTTGGCAATGATCTAAAAGTGGTATCATACGAAGACATTCTACGTCAAGTGCCATTTATTGAAAAACTTTTGACAGGAGAGCATGAGTTTTCGTCTACTATACCCGACAAAATTCAGCATGATAACTGATTGAATTAGAAAAACAGGTGCAGTGAAATCAAGGTTGAGCAAAAAATTTTTTGCAATGATTTTCTGCTTCATTCTTTTGCACCGACCAAATTCAACTTATCAAAATCTTTACTGCCAACAAAACAACAATTAGAAGAATAAAAAGTTTTTTTTTTTTCGATTGCAACAGTAGCACATTTGTTCTTTGTCAAGGAACTTTTTTGGCTGGTACTACCTGAAAGTATCAAGATGATTTCAACGAAATCTTGCATTCTTTTTTCGATATCAGCTTCAGTTTGCTCCTACAACGACAATAAATACAATTTTTTTTCTTCA